CTTCAATTTTGGACTTAATCCCGTGTCACGTCCAAAGAGATGTTGAGTCCGTCCTGTTGTGGGGGACTATTCTCAACACCTGTCAGTGGTGTCTCCTACGAACCTCCAGCTCTCACTGTAGAGTCTGTAGAGTCGAGATTGAGTAACACCGTCCTCATCTCGACGAGGATTCCCAATCGCTTTCACTTTCGCGTTCTGTATCGTCTTCATCTCTCAACATATTCTCCTATTACCATTATCATGAAGCTAACCACGATCAGATCAGATGGTAGGGTCGGAGCCCTACTCATCACCAACCCTTGCTCATGGATGAAAAGCCATCCGATGAGTTTCCGGAGCGTACCCAGCACCCGATACGGAGATGGTGGATTGGATCAAGTTGGCCTCGAATGTTACATAGGAGGGAGATATAGATGAATATGCGCACCTCATGTGGTCCCGGCGTCTAGGCCTCGCCTGGCTGGGGCTGCTTGTTTTTGAGACTTTTTCCCGCGCACGCAGTTTCCATTGCTACCATTTTTATTTTTTTTGGGTAGAAGGCTCCGTGGAAAAGGTGACTGAATTCCACGGGTAAACACTGAGCTGAATGGCTATTTATCAAGGGAAATATATCAATGATCTTACAACTAACAAAGGAGGATAGGAGCGCTGTACAAGGTGTGGCCTGGGTCACAGAGGAGCCCAATGTGCTAGATAGTCATAGACTCAAGTAGTACAATAAAAACACATTGTCTCTCTATTAGTCGTCGGCATCGGGACACCTTGCCAAGGATGAAGGGCCTGATGCGGGTAGGGATCATTACAGTAGCCGTGCCATCCATGTGCCGTGCCGACAGAATAATCCACCACAGTTGCTATCAGGATCTGCATCCTCAATGTCTGAAATGGAACAATTTTTACAAGTCCGCTTTCCTAGACCATGAAGCCACGACACATGGGGTGATGACCCTCGCCTCTTCCGGAAGGAAAGCTCGCGAACTGGCCAGACAGATGGTTACAGACTGGTGGCATTCGAATCGCCCCAGACATTATGCAGACCTCGAACTCGAGATGCGACGCAAGAAACCGCCAGAACTAGCACTACCAAGGGCAGTCTACGCTCGCCTAATAGCCGCTCGAACCGGATATGGGGACTTCGCGGCTTATCATCGCCGCTTCAACCACACTGACGCTGCACTTCACTGCGAGTGTGGGAGAGAAAAATCAATCGGTCACCTTGTTCAGTGTCGAAAAGCACTGGCAACATGGCGGCTGAAAAGCGGAAGGCGAAGGGCGCCAGCTATAGAAACAATGCTCGGATCAAGCGGGTGGCAACTGTTCAGGGACTATGTCCAGGAGAGCGGAATATACGCAGAGGCTAGCCGGGGGATGGCAGGGATACCTGTGACTCGGAGGTGATGAACGAAAGCCTAGGTGATCTGGCATGGAAGTAGGGATAGGAATCGAGGCTCGGGCGCGTGGTGGCCGAGGCGGAACGATGGAAGGGAGATTGTCAAAGTCTTTCTTTTGTAATGCAGGATTTTGCGTGGAAGTTTTCTTTTGTTTTGTTTTCAACTCTGGGCTGCTGTACTCGTCATGCTTCAACACATAGATGCGTTCCGGCATGGTTCCGGTCATTGAGGTGGGACGAGGCACTTGTACTTTACGGTAGTTAACCTGATCCGGCCCGACCCCACTCGTGCTCAAGCTCCAGTAGGAGTGCGACGGTAGTTACTTCACCCAGCACGTTAATGAACAAACAAACGCACCATTCGAGAAATTCGAAAATTCGAAAATTCCCTATTTCACTTTTTCCATTCCTATGACCACTTCTGTGCTTGACTTCTCGAATTGTTAACCGTCGCGAGGTATTTAAAATGCCTCCGGTGAGAAAAAATCGCCCAAAGCCGACAACTTCAGCCGGCTTTGAACGGACACCATTGTGTCCAAAACCTACTGGCCTCGCGCAAAAATTATCAAGCCTATTTGCGAGTGAGGCCTTTGTCCCAGGGAAGTCCACAAATCTTCCCGATCAAGAGATGACTGATTCTGAACCGATCAGAGCAGAAAACAATGGTCCCAAGACCAAAACCCCCGTCGAACTGCCCCCTTTGGCAAGCAGCTCCAGGAAAGGAAAGAAAGTTGTTCGAGAAAAGACAACCGAACGTGCAGAATCATCTGCAGGAAACAATGCTGTGCCAGCCTCTAAAGGCGTAGCATCTACATCAGCAATGGAATTTCCACCAGAGCTGCAAACCGTGATGGAGGCCGAAAAGCGACGTACGACGCAAATTACGGCCCGCCTCGCCATCTGCTCGACTGCAATAAACAGTGTTGAAGCAGCACTTTCGCCTCTTTCGATCGGCGAAAATAAAGAATTTGTAGACGGAATCAAAGTCTATCTTCGAGCAGCCATCGGCCAGTTCGTACAATCTGGCCCAGGGAGCACACCACCAGTTCTCCCTGCTCGCCCCGCCAACCCTCTTCCGCCGAGGGCACCAGAAATAAGGGTTCCTAACCCTCTAACAACCCAGGCTCCGGCCCCAAAGACAACTTGGGCCACCGTAGCTCGGGTAGGTCTAGCCCGCAGCGCTGGGCTATTGACAAAAAAGGCAGCACCACCCGCCCCCAAGGCAAAGAGTGCCAACTCGAGGTCAAAAGCCGATTCACGACTTTTTCTGCGCCTTGACTATTTCCATCCCCACCGTCTCCTTTCTCCAGCTGGAGTAAGGCTAGCGGTATCTCAGGCGCTGGGAACCGCTGCCAACAATATCACGTTGGTTCAGCGGGTAAAGACCGGCTTTGCAATAACCGCAAAGGATGAACTCGCTCGAACAGAGCTCCTAGATTCCTCCACATCACGGAGCGAATCTGGAATCAAACTGGAACCAGCATCAAATCTGGTTGCCATGCAAATTGCCACCGTCCCGGAGACAATTCGAACTCTTGCTGGCCCAATCGCCGTGACGGCAAAGATGGTTGCCGACGAAGTCACGCGAGTGACCCAGTTGGTTCCCTTTCTGGTTCGTCCTCATGGGACTAGCAAACCAGGGGCGCCCTACTCAAATTGGCAAGCGCTATTTCCTCGAGAATCCGCTCCTCGACCTGGATTCCGCCTTTTCGACGACTCTGGAGCTGCAAAGCTCTTCCGACCTCGTCACAAAATCGAACAATGCAAACGGTGTCTTGAATTTCACGCCACCCGTGGTTGTTCCCGCGCTCCAGCTTGCTGGAACTGCGGATCTAATATGCACTCAGAATCAGAGTGCAAGGCCCTCACCCGGTGTCGAAACTGTGGGGGACCTCACCGATCGGATTCCCGGGCCTGCTTAGCCAGACCCAGCAAGTCCGGACCGGTGACAAAAGAGCAGCTCGCGCGGATCCGCTAGATCCAGCAAGGGGAGTTCGCGAAAGTGGCTCGATTTAGGGCTGCAGCCAAAAGGGCCGAAGAGGCAACGATAGCCTCAACGAAGGATGTCTCGGTGGCCGAGGGATCGGGTTTCGGAACCCTGGAATCCGAAGAAGAAGTTTGAGGGTACAGCAACCCTCGGTGAAGTCTACAGATGGCTTCAAAATATATAGCAGGATACCAGCTGAATTCAGGGTATCTGCGAACTAGTCTTTCGCTCTCAGCGGAGATAAGAAAAAGTCACGTGGAAGATGTGGCAGGAAAGGGAACGGGCGAGAAGCGCAGGATCCGGACCAAACAGTATTTCTTCTAAATTTGATTTCAGTTTTTGATTTCAGTTTTTGATTTTAGTTTTGCTGTTAACTTCTACAACTTCAGTAGAAGTTCATGCGGTTGGAATGAGTTGGGCCTGTACGCAGTGATCCTTGCCGGCTCCACCGGTCCTTGACCCAATGTGGAAAAGATAGCGTTAGCTTAGGACCAAATGTAAAAAAAAAAAAAAAAAAAAAAAACAAACTAGACCATGAAGCCTGCGGGAATGCCCTGGTATCCATGGCTAGATATCTCATTTCTTGGTATAAAATAACGATACCTGTCTCTGATTGAACCTCATCGCTTAATACTTCTCGTACTCTTCACATCATTACCTCGACTTCGTTACCGTCCTCTTCGAATATCAGATTCATTAAGATTCAAACCACGATATGTCTACCTTCATCGATAACACTGCGCATTTCACTGTCAACCTATTGAACGAAATTACCTTATCGTTTAAGTTAATTTGCGCCGGTTTGAACTTTGACTGTTCGCAAGGAGCACTCGACGAAAACGCTGACCTAAAGCCAATACGTGTTGCTTCAAAAACTCTGCTTACTTCTCTTACATTCTATGCTCAAAATAACGCTGTACCATCCTCATCTGATACAGAATTGGATATACGTCATACTTCAATTGCGAAACGACTGAACTTACATAGCATTCCCCTCACTGCTTTCATACCATTAGTCCTGTTACAGGCTGTGGCCTTGTATGTGGATCCGGAACTATCCGGCTCCGTCTATGAACAAGAGCGCGCTAGTGTCATTGGAAAACGCGCTCGATCGGAACAAAACATCTTGCGCGCGCGTCGTAAATATCCTCCTCCATGGATAAAATATAAATTCATTTTTGGACCCATAATTGTGAACAACAAATGTGAAGTCCCTTCACAAGTCCGGTCGATACATTCCAATGATACAGACAGCGATGTATGGAACAAGGTGACTAAACTTATGGACGATCATGAGCCAATCCAGCCGTTTGCGACGGACGTTCCTTCTTCTCAACAAGGTGAAGCGCGTCACAGGCGGTGTTCTGCCCCGTATAAAGGACCCGACCAGGTCATGGAAACCCTCAGGCAAGCTCTTAGTACCGAGCTGGCCGGTACTATTTTCGAGAATGTCAGCGGATTTTACCAAAAGTACTTTGAAAAGACAACCTGAGCCGGTCAGTGCAGGGAAATAGCAAAGCGGTATAAGAATAGGCCAGACAAATCGGCTTTCAAGTTTCCCAAGGATCCAACGGAAACCAATGTATGGGATGGATAAAAGCGGTCTAGGCTGAGTTCATTGAGCCGTACAAACCCGATGAGACTTCTGAAAACCAGCATCATTTATCTCTTCATGCTCTAACTTTGCGAACTACATCAGCTGGACAGACGAAAGGAGGAATATCACCGCGTCAGATATGTGTCTTTCTCAAAAGTCGTAATTCACCAACTACGATACATAATTGGCAAGATGTACATGGCTTAGGAGAGTTAACATCCTTATCAGCTGGGCCATGGGTAGACAAGTCTATCCGACTCTCGGTCTATATACGAGAAATATTCTCGGCCCAGCCACTGCGACAATTCGCGCATGGATTCCTCATGTTCGGGACGCAACTGCAGCTTTGGGTTTACGATCGGTCTGGGCCATATTCAGCTGACATTATTGAAGTTGGGGAGAATCCCGAGAGGCTAGTCTATGTCATTGCGGCGTACATGCTAATGAGCGATAAAGAGCACGGTCTTGACTCGATCATTCAGCGTGAGAAAGGCAGGATAAGTGTCAACATATATGATGCAGATACGAAGATTGCGAAGAAAATTTATTTTCGGTCGAAACCACTCATCAAACAAATGGCAATCGTCTCTCGTGGTACGACGGTGTACATATCCTCTGACGCGAAGTTTGTGGTCAAAATCTCGTGGAGAGCAGTCGGTCGGCTGTCAGAAGTTCAACTCTTAATGAGGGCACGGAACGTGAGGGGTGTGGCGACATGGATTGGATCGCGGGACTACGTCAAGATCAGCGATCTTCGCAGTGGACTTACTTTCGCCGAGGAGATGAATAGAGATATTCATCCGCTTGAGATGAAGATGACAACGGCTGGCAATTCATTACAGTCAGGGTCTTCCAATGCGGGTGAAAGCGATGAGCTAAGCAGAGGTGTCAAGCGAGATAGCGATTCGGTTGCCGGTAAAGAGGTCAAAGTATTTCGAAGAAGCAAACGATCTTGCGTCTTGAGTGTTTCGCGGCAAGCTCTGCACAATGCTGCTACGGCGCAAGTGCGAAAAAACGCTAAGTCAACCAGCTCGCGAAAGAAACCTGTGACGAAAACTGATCCCAATCCGACGACTATTAACGCCAATCCTGTGGCACAAGATGTTACTCAAGATGTGAGTCAAGATGTGCCTCTTGAAACGCCATCTGTCTCAATGAGCTCGCCTGCCGAAAGTAGCTGCAGTCTCGCCGAGGTGTCGAACTCATCTTTGGGTAAAAGACCCAGGGATGCCGATAATACTGATGCCAAAGCTCAGATGGAATCGGAGCCTGATCTGAAGAAGCTACGCATATCGAGCAATGTCGGGCAACCTTTATCAGAAGCCGTAGTTGAACCTGTCTCTAATCAGGTCATGGATGATCCAAGCCCTCCAAATGAACAGGCTGTTAAAATGCGGAGGCGGCCCCCGAAGTCAGTAATGGGGATGTAGTCATGACAGACAAGGCAACGGTGTATCGGAACCGTTGGGAAACGGTCATTGCCGCTAAACCCTTCGGTCGAGTGATTGATGAAAAGACAAAAGTCGTTGATCTACTCTATGGGCTATGTGATGCGATTAAGAGTCATCAATCACTATTTTTGAGGTCAAAGATATTGCACTGCGATATTTCGACCAAAAATATCATACTGACAGACCCAAAACTGAATGATGGCTCTCATGGAGCGTTGATAGACTTTAATCTGGCAATGCCTCTAACTGGTGACAACTACTCCGAATATGCCAAAGACTTGACGGGCAATATGGAATTTACAGCAGTTGAAATCCTAGAGAAATTCGCATATACAACTGATAAGAAGCTATTTCACACTTATCGACACGATCTGGAGTCATTTTTCTTTGTCCTAATTGTAGTATGCATACGATTTGGAAGGGATTCTATGGATTCGTCTTATTTTGACACGTTAAGGAGATGGTACAAGGGAGAGGCGGTAGATATGTTAACATACAAAGCTTATGCTTTTAGTAGTCTAGGTTTCCAAAAAATAATCCTGAAAGAATTCTCACCGAAATTCGGGTGCCTGAAATTCCTAGCTATAAGGCTGCGCAACATTTTGTTCGAATGATCCAATACCTTCTGGACAGACACCGACCCGTGCTCAGCAAACCTCTATAACTCAATGCTAAAGGCTTTTAACGATGAAATTGTCAAGATTAAATGTGAGTGAAAATCACTAGAGTGAAGCTCTATATTAAATAAATAGAAGAGATATTTACTAACGAATTATTATTCAAGTAGCGCAATGATTAAAAATGTTCCGGTGTGGACAAATGATTTAGTCATATTATTGTCATGCGCAAGGGGGTTAATATGAACGGCAGCTTATGAGATCCTAGATCCATATAAAAGTGGATAAGAAAATATCATATATCCACATGATATTGCTGCATTCTGGTAGGTGAAAACAATAATCAACACATAAAATGAGCAACCAATAATGACAAGAAAATAAAATATTAGAAGACAACAGCACTTGATTAAATGAGCGAGAAAGATTCACTCTGGCTCAATTCTTTTTCAAAGTAGTGATATAATGTAAATTACTAGATGATGTGAGTAGATATATTTTGTGGTAGCTAAAGTAATGTGTAGTAATGTATTGGAAATATCGCGCAATGAAATGGGCGCAATATTTATGGAACGAATGTAGTAGTTGACTAAAAGAGTGTTGTGTTCGGATTACAGCTAAAAGTGTGGGAAGTGTGCGCTACAAGTACAAGTGTAAGCGACACAGAGGCTAAGCCACAGCATAAACGAGCGTGGCGCCATCTAGGCATAGAAAACCCCACAATAACCTCTTTGTGCCCACGCCAGAGAGCCGCTCATGTCTCCAATAGGTAGTCTGAACCGCTACCACATTACCCATTCCAACCTCTTAAATACATACAAGGTCGTGTCGGGAACCTAGACGAAATGGAGGGCCCATACGTCCACAACACTCTGTGTCCATTTCCAACAGGATGTACGCATCTGAAGCTTCTCAATATGGTGTTTGAAATACGTTGACCACCAATAAGCTCCTACCTCTGCAATACCATACTGCAGTTTGACAACAAACATAATAGTTCCTTGAGGATACATACCCTTGAATTTAACAGGCAGGTCTGCAATAATAGTTCGTTGCAGAGGGCCCTAGTATTGTGTATACGCTTGCGTAATGTCGCGTAGCCATGACTTCATACCTTCAGTGATGGTGTCAGAGCAATTATGATCCTTTGGCTAGCTCTCTATTTTGTTGGACTTTGGGTGAGGACAAACTTCTTGCCTTCATCGTTGTATCCTTGTATAACTAGTCTTGACTTCTCATTCGACTAGCTTGTTGTTTTGCCCTTGACTTCGTTGACAATATAAGACTTGAAGGTTATAGTGATTCCATGTTTGCGAGGATTGTATTACTCAAATCTGAACGCGCCTCGCGTAATTAATGCGTCAACTTCATCCTTCGTGGATTTTTTGAAAGGTCTGCCTGGTGTAGTGATTTTTCCAGACGATCTTAGATTTTATGAGAGAACAAGATCGTACTGTTCACGTTGAGCAAGGTGTATAAAGTTTGCTTTTGTAGGATTAGCCTAGTTCTTCGATCGTATCGGACGGCCGTGTCGTCGTTGAGGCAGTTCAGGCTCAGGTAGATACTCATCATTTGCATCATCGTGGAGCTCATTATCATCCTGTAGCTTCTCTTCCTGCGTAGGGATGATGGTTGAATCATCCTGATAGTATAGATGCACGGATGTGATACGAAAGGTGAACTGTCGGCCCTCAGTTTCTACGATAGCGGAGGTTTGATTGTTATTCAGGGCAAGTAATACATGAGACCCTGTCCATCCTTTACTCTTACGCCAAACTTTGACTTTACTTTGTATAGGAAGTTGTAGTATCTCTGATGCGTTCGCACCGTTACGTGTAGCAAGTGCGTCACTAAATTGGCGTTGTGCCTTCATTGCCTTTTGGATTGCAGCTGCGCGTGCTACGATAGATGCGACTAGTGGTGAAGTTTTAGAGAGGCATGAATAGGTAACATACACGAGTAGCGTAGTTATGTAACCGTTCAGGCCAGCAGTATCATTGACAGCCTTTACGGCTATTTATAACCCATGTTCCGAAGCCATAGTGCGACCCAATTCAGCAGAGATAACCTCACACGCTCTTCTAATAGTAGCATGGTATCGTTCGACTTTTCCTATTGAGTGATGGGTGTTGTAATTAAGGCAGCAACATGACTGCAGTAAACAAATAGTACATATTAGAATAATATGCACTGGCGCCATGAGATATGATTAACCCATATCATCACTCACTGGCATGAATAGTAATTAGCCAATAGATGCCTAACAGTATACATTGGCTTCAGGATCTCCAACAACCTTCCCGTTTAGGTTAGATTAGGGAGTATGTTGGAGTTCACACTAGTGTGCGGAAAACCCCGCTTTCATGTATTTAGAGGGACTTCTCGCCACACATATAGAATCATAGCAATTTAATCACAATTAACTATCCATTAAACATCAGTAAACTTCTTCGTATAGTAAACACATTTATCGTATCTCTTAATCAAACTCGAGGCTAGTGTGTAATTCTTCCAATCTCCGGAACTAATTTCAATTATGGGCTGTTATGAATTTGTTAGATTTAATCTGGATGTGGTGATGCAGGGGTTATCTTCTTAATTCGGTTAGATCTGAGGCAACAGGATTTGGATTTGTTCAGGCTGGAAATTTGAATTTGTTCTTTAGTTCTAACAATTTTGTTACTTTTACGATTATTGTATAATTTACTTATTGGGAGCTCGATATATTGATAATATGATAATCTGAATATATGAATTCGTAACTTTGATAATCCGAGCCTCGATTACCTTCATTCATACCTTCGCACATTTGACATTTGCACCTTCGACCTTCGCACCTTCGACCTTCGACCTTCGACCTTCGTAACTTTGTAGCCTCGAACCTTCGATAATTTGTCTTCGTCGAAATCGACTCGACCTCTGCAGCTTAACAGCTTCGAAAATCTGCTAATAAGTAGATTCATAACATGGGCCTCGGCAGGCACTTCCTCGATGTCGATTGCCATTATTTTGGCATTGTTGAGGAACTCCTCGCTGACAAATTCCTTACCAGCATTTGAAACGAAGATGTCTGGAGGACTGACGTACATGTCAATCCACATGGCTCGTAGCGTGTCCCACTTCGTACTTGCTAGCCTTTTTTGAGGAAATGAGCAGCCTGAAAGGCAGTTGCCTCATCAACTGCGTGAAGAAGAGGCTTCTGATTTACATACATGACGTCAATTATGACTCGAGAGTTGAAATTTGCGTTATCATCGTCTCGTATCGTGAACTTGAATCAACCAGACGCCTTGCCATGAATTTGGTACTGATGGCAGAACTTATCGATTTTTTCTATCCTGTCTTTGCCAATATTATCATATCCTGCTTTATCGAGGACTCGGTATGGTCGCTCTGCGGCTGGGTATCCAAAACGTCGATGGAGCTGTCTAAGTTCCACCTTAGTGAGATAGTGCGTAGCAGTTTCGTATTCATCTAGGAGGAACCATGAATGCCCCCACCTGCGTATGATTGGATATTTATCGCCTTTGTGGACGAGTACATTCTCCACATTGTTGAGAAAAATTCCATACCTATCCATATCTGCTAGGCAGAGTAGGAAGGGCGTGTTAGTAGGCATAACAGCAAATTTCATGAGTCCGAATGGCATAATTTACTTTGGCGTCACCAATTGATACACACTCCAGGCTGTCTCCAAGTCTGATATGCCGGCGGCACCTGTATCAGGCATGATGCCCTGGAAAGTTTTAGAGTTGTATCTATTGTTAAACGTTCATATATAAGGCAGTTCTTCAGGCTCTCTATCTGCATTACATGGATCTATACTTGTAAGAGCGTGTGTTTTTGCGGCATTATTAGGATTCCTTATCACATCTTGTCCATCGATAAAACCACAGATAACAGTAAAGAACTGTGTGTTTAATATTGTGTTCCTTGACTAAAATACGTCAAGAACGTTAAGATCATTGTCTTCAACTTAAGGACTATCTTTCAGGTCTTTTCCTTAAAACTCTGCTAGAATAATTTCGTAGTCATCATGAGTATTGTCATGAGTCTGATCGTACGAACTGAAACGTTGTTTATATGCTTGGCGCTTCTCTCGTGAGTGTCGTGTTAACCAACATTCTTGTTTACCACATACAAAGCACTTTATATCTCTTTTTGGGGCCGAAAACTGAGCGTTGAAGCGGTTGGGACGTGAACTTCGTGGATGCTCATCGTAGCGAAGACAATCGTCGTTTTGAGAGCGATTGTTGTTGCGAACGTGTTGTCGGTTCGTATAGAACACATTGGTATCCCGTTAGAGCTCACTGTGATAGTTGAATTAAGTGTGATTGTTGCCTTGGCATCGCATCCAGATTC